CTGTGGGAGTGCACTGACCATCAGTGAGCATTTCCTTCATTGAGCGTTTGCCTCCTGGTGGTCAGTGCATGTCATGTCAAGTGGTGAACAGCCTTAGCATATTATTAACATATTACACTTTGATTGGTTGAACAGCCGACCAAACACTTAGCATATTAGGCTTTTATTATATAGGATTCTACTCACCTGACATCACAGAACGTTTTCCTGGGGCTTTCTTGCTCACCTTACTTCTCCTTCCTAAGTTTTGGAGTTTTGACCAAATGTGTCAGAAAAATAGAATCTCTGTTATAATCTCCTATAGTCTTAATCTCTCATCAGGAATATTTGTAAAATGTAATTCTTTACATGGAAACACAATGTAGACTTAGGTATATCAATATTTAAATTATTTTTAGTTCCAAGAATTAAAGTACAAATGCAAAGTGTGAGTCTAGCATATGAATGTGACAATATAACATTTAAATAGATTTAGACTTGGTGTGGCTGATGAGTTCTAGGGGATCACCAGAGCTAAATCTGAAATGTTTACTGATTTAAAGTCATTTGTATTAGGCTGTGCAGTGTGGTTGCAAGATTTATGAAATTAAAAGGATATTTTAATCTTCTCAAAGCTTCAAAAATAATACAATTGTATTTCGAATTCAGGCATCAGAAGGAACTGGCAAAGAGTTCAAAATCACAATTTTTTTTTAGCTTTATTGCCACATTGTATTATAGATACTTAGATGTTTGTTAACTCTCTTGGTAGAGGTGCGTTTAAAAGATAGGGACAGTGTCTGTCTTTGTGTTTCCAGCACCTGCAAGGAGCTTTGCACCTACTCTGGGCACATGAATGTTTACAGAATCAATGAATAAGCTGCAGAGTGACTTTCTCATGCACATGTGATGTTTTTCTTTCAGTTGTCTCTCCCATTCACTGCACATTATCTGTATATTGTTCATTGTGTGTGCATGCGTGTGTGTGTGTGTGTGTGTGTGTGCGCGCGCACGCACAAGTTATATTTTTTACTAATCTCCCTTGCAAAACAGAAGTTCTTTGGCAAAGATAATCTCTGTGGAAGGCAACACAATTGCCCCCTGCCAAGATGTTCAGTGCTAATCGCAGGAGCTTGTGACTATGTTACCTTACTAGCAAAAGGAACTTTGCAGACCTGAATAAGGACCTTGAGATCCTTATTCTGGTCATTTGGGTGGGTACAAGGCAGCCACGAGGGTTTGTAAAAATGGAAGAGGGAGGCAGCAGAGAGAGCGAGAGTGATGCCCCATGAGGATTCATGACCACTGCTGCGTGTGAGGATGTGGGAAGGGCCACAGCTGAGGAGTGGCAGCAGCCTGGATGCTGGGAAAAAGCAGGAAAAGGGATTCTCTCCTGGAGCCTCTAGAGAGGAAGGTATCTCTGTTGACACCTGTTAGCCCAGCAAGACCCATGTCAGGTTGTCGAAACACTGTGTGAGGTAATAAACAAATAGAAATTAAGTCACTGAATGTGAGATCATTTGTTAGTGTGAGTAGAAAACGAATACTGTCTCTGATGCACCCTCTTATCCCCTCAGCTTCTGACACAAAGGGAGACTGTTATCATTTGCAGATTCTCATTCTCATCGCTTTCTTTCAGCTCAGTGTTCACTCCCTTATTCTGTGCTGGGACAGGACGGACAACATGAATTAGGATTCCTCTGTTTGCAAAAAAACAGAAAGCTAATCCCAATTTACTCGAATAAATTTTTAATTTTTTTATTTATTTAAACAAGAGGGGAACAGGCACATCTCACAAAAGTGGGACATCCAAGGACGAAAGTTGCCTTCAGTCCCAGCTAAGATGAGGGCCCAATCAGTCCATAAAGGCCCTCTGTCTCTCTGGCCTGCTTTCCTCTGGATGGGAGCTCCTGTATTCCTATATTCATGTGTTTTCAGTGACAAAACTGCCCTCTTTCAGGGAAAAATAGCAATTTGCCATTTTCGTAGCCTAGGGATTTGCAAGGGTGCTACGATTATCCACTGGCACATTAAAAGAGGGCTCCAAAACATGTTAGCTTAAAATGCAAACATTGTTTTTACTTACCAGTGATTCTGCAATGTGGGCAAAGCATACGGGAGATGGCGCATCTTTGCTCCAAGTGACATCAGCTTGAGGCAGCGCGATGGGAACTCAAGCATTCACCTCCCACGACGGCCTCACTTACACAAATTAGTTGATTCTGGCTGTTGATTGGAAGGTCAGCTGGGGCTGCAAGACACAATTCTCCTTCACAAGACTGTCCCACACGGTTAGGTTGGGTTTCTTGCACTGTGGCAGTCTTACTGTAGTTGAACTTTGTGCTCCTCAATGACTTGCCCCCAGCACAGAGGAGAAGCCTCTCGTCTTTATTAAGGTTAGCCCCAAACTGGCACCAGGACACCCGTGCTACATTCAGACCACAGGACCCAGCCCACATTTAATGAGAGGAGGCTGCACACACAAAGACATGACTACCATTGCCATAGTTCAGTGAGACTCCCAGAATGCATTACGGTGGATAACGGGGCTGTGCGAGTGAGGGTCCAAACAGGACCATGGGGAAAATGCTAGGGACAGTCCCACAAAGGAAAAGGGCTGCAAACAAATCTCAGGTTTCCATGGCAACCATTTCCTAGAGTGCTAAGAAGTACTCCATGAAGCACAGCTGCCTTTCCCGCTAGGTATCTTTCTCATACAGTTTGTACTATTTTCTAGAGTTGGAGAGCTGATTAATAATTTAGGTTTAAAGTTTAGGAATCTCTGACTTTTTCTTATTCAATTTTTCTTACACTATGAATGGAAATGATGATGATACATAGCAAATGCGACTGCAAAGGAATTAAATTGTGCAGGATTCATGATGAATAAACTTCAATGTGTCTAATCCAGTAGCCTTTTTACTGGGACCATTTCTTGGATATTGTGGTGAAATATTTTCACCCTGCTTCTACTTTTTTATGGTTTGTATTTATTCTCCACAGTACAGGTCCCTAAAATGTCAAATTACTAGCACTATTTTGTGGTATTTAGTTTTAAGTTAGAATATTTGAAATGCATTAATTAATTTTATCTGTACAATAAGGTTTTTCACATTAACCAAGTTTTCTTTACAATATAAGCCATGCATTCATTTATGGTGGACTCAAATTACTCTTTATTTGAATTTTGTATTTAATGAATGAACATGTGCTATTGGGGATTAGGTAGGATTTAGGAAATGAATGTATAAGGATTATTGAAGATAGAATTGCCAAAGATCCAGGAATATGCAGAACATATTTGTTGATTGATTTTAACTGGAGTAAATATGAAGCAATAACAACTCTATAAATTATTCAGAGACCAGTCATCCATGTCAGGATTCTTTAGATATTATTTCAGAAAACTTTTTGGCAGGGTATTTTCTTTTTATAGTGTGTTTTTCCCTAGTCCGTGTACAAAAGAGATATAGATCCATAAGGAATAGATTTAACACTGATTCTTTTAAAATGAAGTTAAACATTTTAAAACATTCAAGTGAAGACTGCATGGTATTTCCCACTAAAGCTCTCTTTGGTAATTTATTTATTTTAAATATTATTTTTGTCTTTCAGAAGGCCTTGTATAGGGAATGTAAGAGATTTATTAAAAACCTGGGGCCCCTTGAGGGTGCTTTAGTACTTTGCCTCAAATCTGCACATAGGCAAAATTCTTGATATTATGAGTTGGGATTTTCAGTGTAAGAGGATTTAAAATCTCTGCTGAAGCAAAGGACTTGTTAGCTGTTTCTAAGCATCATATATCAGAGAGAACCAGCTACTTAACAGTTGCTCAACTGAAATGGGGCAGGACAGGGCACAGGGAATAAAGGAGACCAATTTAGACCAAGTGGAAGGTACCAAATTCTCTTCAAATGGGCCTTTTATCCTAGAAAGATATTCTGGCCAAGTCCAGAAGCAGACAGAATGAATAGTCAGTACTGACATAGGTATGGATCTCTGCATGTGCAGGTACAGCTCACTTTTTAAAGATTTCCCTTCAGTAAAGCAGTTTAAGACACAGTGTTAGAAAGAATGACTATTTGTGTATTTGCAGATTTGGAATTAAAGACCCTAATTTTCTACTCACAAGTTATGTGACTTTGAAACATTCCTAATAACCTTTTTCTTTCCATAATAACGTGTTTTGTTTTGTTTTGTTGTCTCAGCCCCCTATACTCATGGTTGTTCTGAAGATCCAAGTCTGAATGCCAAAATTCTTCACACACTATTAAGCACTACATTATAAAATTTTTATTATTATGACAACTACTACTAAAACATGATTGAATAAATGGCCTGTAAGCAATCTATTAAAAAGTCCAAGTGGGTTGGGTGTGTTTTATTTTGGAGAAATATGTTCATTTAGAGAACATACATGAGGTCCAAAGTAGTCAATATATTTGTTTCCATTCTTTAAAAAATAAAGACAAGTGTCACATGATCTCACTCATTTGTGGAATCTAATGAATAAAATAAGCTGATGAATAAAACAGAAACATAGAAGCATGGAACAGGCTGACAAATCTCAGAGGAAAGGTGGGGATGGAGATGGGTTTGGGGAGGGACTAACTAAAGAACTTATATGCATACATGCATAACCCATGGACATTGACAATAGTGTGGGGAAGACCTGGGTAGGGGGTGGAGGTGGGTTAGAGGAGGTAAATGAGGAAAAGATCTCTAATACTTTCAACAGTGAAGATAAATTTTAAGAAATACTACCCCTTCCACTATTGACTTTCCAAAGGACACAAAATCTGGAGAGATGACTGTACACATTTTTGTCTGAATAGCTGAGGATTTCATTTTATAAACTATAACCCAGAAGGGTTATGGCTATTTGTAAAGAGAAATTTGCCTCCTGCCATCATCTCTTGCGATGACTTTTTATCCAGTTGCAGATCTGGTGATGGTGTGGAGTATGTTAGACCAGCCAGATATTTTCATTCATTTTTTGTTTGTCTGTGTTTCTCTCCCAGCTATTGGCAGGACCCTCATCCCCCGCTACTTTAGCACTGTGTTTGAAGGAGGGGTGACTGACCTGTATTACATTCTCAAACACTCGAAGGAATCGTACCACAACTCGTCCATCACAGTGGACTGTGACCAGTGTGCGATGGTCACCCAGCACGGGAAGCCCATGTTTACCAAGGTAAGGGGCCATCTCCAACATGGTTTGTTCTTCTCTGTGTGTATCCTGTCTAATAAAAGAGAAACATGCAAATTGACTATACCTTCATTACACCCACAAGCTATGCCCACCAGCCAATCAGGGAGTATGCAAATTAACCCAACCAAGATGGCAATTAATTTGCATATCTAGGTCAGAGCAAAGACTGAAGATAGAGTAGAGCTGCAGAAGGGAGTAAAGCTCCAGAGAAGCAAGCAAGTGGGGTTGAGGAGGAAAGAGAGGGAAGCAGGGGGGTGCGGGGAGAAGAGAGGGAGGCAAGTGGGCCTGGGGAGAAGGGAGGGAAGCAGGCAGGGCAGCAACCACAGCAGGAAGCCCTATTGAAGGAATCTTCCTGCAACGGGCATCTAGTTTAAGGATAATAATAGAAGCTTTCTTCTAGAACTTTAAGCTGCTTTCTCATATCTTAGACACTTTCAGTACTGTGAAGTGATCTTTTATGTTTGTAACACGGCTAGACTCTTGGTGAACATTGTTCTCAGTTGTGGGCATGTAAGGTGGAGTCAAGCATGATAGAACCTCAAAATTAAGGGCAAGAGAAGGTCAGCTGCATATTAAACCCAGGTTACTAAATTAGAATGTTAGTTTTTATGCAAACGATCTTCTACAGGTAAGAGAACGTTAACCCAGTGTTGATTGTCTGATTCAGAGATACACTCTAGTTTATCCAAAGACCACATAGAATCACAATAATTGTCATGATACCATTAGTTGCTGAAGAAATTCTATATGTTACTGAAATTAAACATTTTTAAAGCTAAATTCAGGAGGACAATCCAACTTACCATAACTCAACTAACCATAATCTTTAAGGAACACAAAAATTATAAAAGAATTTAGGAAATTTGGAGCTTAAAGGTGATTTTTTCCAAATTCTAAGAAGTTCTATGATTGGTTGATCAGCAAGTGAGCAAGAAGTTGTGAGAGCAAGAATGAGAAATATGGGGAGGGGAGGAGGAGGATCAGATAAAATTTTGAGGCAGAATTTAAGGCACTGTGAAGGATTTGAAATGAAAAAGAAAAAAACTCCACCTTTGACCTCTCCCATGCATAGATAATAACCATATGGAGTACTTCCTCTGGACAAAGATCTTTCCTGAACATTAGAGTTAACCCCTTTATATCTTCTCCCAAGTAGAAAAATAGCAAGAGCAAATATTTAGTCATAGAATCTGGCAAAACAGAAGCTTATTTTTTAAATATATTTTTTTTATTTATTTCAGAGAGGAAGGAAGAGGGAGAGAGGAAAACATTAATAATGAAAGAGAATCATTGATTGGCTGCCTCCTGCATGGCCCTTACTGGGGATTGAGCCCACAACCCAGGCATGTGCCCTGACTGGGAATCAAACCATGACCTCCTGGTTCATGGGTCAGTGGTTAACCACTGAGCTATGCCAGCCAGGCACAGAAGCTTGTTTTAATGAACACTGGTTCGTTGCATTTTGACTAAGACTCAATGTGAAATTAATTTTTAATATGAATGATAGCAGCTGTAACTTTTCATTAAAACACAAATGGCCACACCCTCTTTATTGTTAAGGGAAGTTGACACATCTACTTAACACATCTACTTAATCTTGTAGATCAGAGGGATCTCCAGTCCTCACATCTACTGTTGCAAAGTCCAACACTGCAACACTGATAATTCAACACAGAAGAAGTTGAATTATCAGGGTTAATGCAAAAGCCCGTATTATAAAAAGAACATGTGTTTGTTGCTTATATACAATATGCTGAAAGAATAAAAATAAAGTGTTTATTATTTATTTAAAGTATTCCTTGATCTTTTATGTTCAGTTTCTTCTTTTTGCTGTTCATAATGGTATGAAAAAAAAACTGAAGGCAAAGGGAAAGGTTATAAAATGAAAAAGCAGATCATCAGATGCCACTGATTATATGATCTCTTGCCTTGGCTAATAAACATCTTAAATGTGGGGGCAGAAGCTGGATTTTCTCTTTCTTCCTCTTTGACAGTTGAGCAGAGAGGAAAGTTGTCCTTCAGAGACAAAGAAGTTTCCCACTGTGTGCAGAGCTGGTGTTGGAAAGAGTTTGCTCTATGGAAAGGCATGATCCCTTGGGTGATGGTTTAATGTGTCTATGTCTCATTTCATATTGGAGACTTAACACATCTACTTAATCTTGTAGATCAGAGGGATCCCCAGTCCTCACATCTAGTGTTGCAAAGTCCAAACACTGCAGAGGAAGCCTTTCTCTGCTGCTTCGTGATCTTTATTATTGTTGCTAGAGGCCTGATGCACGAAATTTGTGCAAGGGGCTCAGCCCCCGCTGTCTGGCAGCTGCCTCTGCCTGCATGCCCACTGCTGTGGCTTTGTCCGGAAGGTCATCCAGAAGGACATCCGGTCTAATTAGGATATTATGCTTTATTATTATAGATTTTTGCTAAGACTTAGTGTTGCTTGTACATATTTCAAGAAGAACATCCAAATTTCTTATGCTTTAAGGGGGTGGGGAGGGGGTTCCATGATAATTAAGTAAAATTTTTGCCATAATGGAGATATTTACAAAACCTGTGGCCATTGGTAGACACATGTATCTTGCACGGATCTTTTTATATATATTTCCTTGCTTGCTTGATTTCTCAGGCCAAAACTCTTCTATAAATGATAATAGTCAGTTGCTCTGAAGATGTAGTGCTATTTATTCAGGGCTATTTTAAAATTAAAGAGTCCCATTCTCCTGGTGAATTGATAAAGTGGTGGGGGTTTTTTGGGTTTTTTTATGTTTTGTTTTTAATTCTAATGAAGAAACTAGGGTTTTCTCTATTGCATTCTTCCTCATTCAGGAATGCTCCCCTTTCACATGTCTGAGTAGGCATCCAAGGCATTGCCCCCAAAAGACCTGTGCATTCTCATGTACCCAGCTCTCCCAGCCTAAAGCTTCAAGTCTTTATTTTATTTTTATTTTTAAATATGTTTTTATTGACTTCAGAGAGAGAAAGGGAGAGAATGAAAAATCAATAGAAAGTATCACAGTTAGGCTGCCTCTTGTATACCCCCACTGGGGATTAAGAGCATAACCCGGGCATGTATGCTAAACTTCCTGGTCCATGGGATGATGCTCAACTTATTGAGTCACACAGGCCAGGCTATCTTCAATTCTTTAGATCACCCATTTGATTATCCTCCATGGCAAAACCATCTGCCAAATCTTGTAATGAATATTTCCATACTGTGATGAGAAATATTACTTTCTGGGAAATGTAGCTTAGCTATGTGGACTTCATCCAGATTCTAATTATACACATTTATTTTTAGAACATTTGAAGTTCTCTCTCTTTTTTTCCCCCCCTCTTTAGTCATTATACACAACCCAAAGAACCTTTCCCATTTTTCTTTTTGTTCTTATGTTAATTAAAAATAACTCATCTCTGTGTCAGAAAATAATCAGGCTATTTAGTATAAAACAGTGAGTTAATGAACTTCCGGTGTGACAGAGAGAAATAGTTTGGAAGCTGATGCTTTGTTTTTTTTGGGGGGGAACTGGCTATTAGTTAGTATATGGCATTACTTAGCACATTGTCCTAATTTAGACTATCAATAAGCTCTAATTCCCCAAGTAGCATTTGAGCCAGTGGTTCTGAGTTGCTTTTATGAAAATTTGGTCAACTGGTGAATCAAAAATCTGCCACAGTCCTAATCAACAGTAACACTTAATATTCCTCAGGAGCATAGTACACATTTTGCAATTTCCTGAGCCTTGCAACATTATAGATAATGGATAAATATGTAATTAGAATTTTAAAACACACATTAGGAAGCCTTTCTTTTCTGTATTCAATTTCAAAACAAACAGAAAACAAGGCTTAATATCAGAAGTGCAATCACCAAAGTTTTTACAATCAAAGACCCTCAAATTGTATAGCAAGAGTGCAATACTGGCAGGTGCAGAGATGAGCCCTCTCTGGGGTATGTGTTGGGTGACTTTTAGGTTTTACAAACTAGAACAATAATTACAGCCATTAACACCTTTATCACTTCTTTAAACACAGACTTATTTGGTTTTTGGTATCAATTATTTATGATGAAATGGTTTGCCACTATAGCCAGATATCAGGGAAGTGCTATCTGAATACTTATTCTTGTCTTTGACCATTAGCTCATCATTCTACCCTGAGCCACTGTATACCACATTCCACTCCAGGATTTTGACTTTGTACTCTTATTCTGAATACCAAATTATTACAGATAATAGCCATATTGCTCTAATATATGCATATATGTGCATTTACACAAACAGTGTCTCTAAGTAAAATACAATGAGCTTTTTGCAACTGTTAACCTAAAAGCACTAATTAGTACTTGCTGGTTGGTGAACCCATAGGTGTTGGGGGAGACTGGAGCTCTCAGGGTATGGAATCTCCTTATCCCTTCCCACGTACTTTGCCCTCTGCATCTCTTCCAGCTGGCTGTTCCTGAGTTGTGTCCTTTTATAATAAGCTAGTAATCTACTAACTAAAATAATAATTATTATAGCACTATTCTGTGCATACTATTTCAGGCATTAAGACCAAGACAATTAAATAAATACACATTAAAAAAGCACATTTTATTTCATAAAATCTCTATGAGTATTGTATAATATATGTAACTACCTGGTCCATATTGCTTCACAATTAGTCAGAGAAAGAAAAGAGTTAAAAAGCTACCAGTTAGTTTGAGAAATGTTCTTTTTTAGTTCTCTCTTCCCTGGCCTAGTCTCAAGTAGCACGTGACATGCTGAATGCCTGCCAGCCTCTTTCTTGTTGATCCTCCGGAGACCATCTGTGCTGGGGGCATTGATTAGAGTGTGTCTGCTGGGATTACATCTTTTCGGTTGCCATGCCAACTAATCAGCTGATTTTGGTTACCACAGAAACAAAATGTCAGAGCTCATAGCACGGTAACATGAATTCGGCATAACAGAAAATGTTTTCTTAATTGGGGACCCTTTTGATTTTGGATGCCAAGTGAAAGGCAGTATTCAAAAAAAAATGGTAACTTTAGATAAAAGCTACTTTAATTGTATTATTAAGAGGAATGCAGAGAATTTTTCTAAAGGGAGAAAACATTCATTCTCCCTGTTTAAGCTATGCCCATTTTTTATTATATAAATATATTTATAATTTTTATTGTTTATATATATATATATATATATATATATATATATATATATATATTGAGATATATATATATATATATATATAGAGAGAGAGAGAGAGAGAGAGAGAGAGAGAGAAGATAAAGTGCCTCCATTCCATTTGCTGATTGTTGCCTATAAAATAAATCACAAAGATTTCAATTTCCTTTAACTTCCAAGAATGAGGCAGGAGGCGAAGAGGTTTCATAGCGCTTGGGAGGAGGCTGTGGGTATACTTACCTGGGGAAGACCAGCAGTGACCAAACTTCTTACAGTCTTTCATTTAGAAAAGCACCCTACACCTTCAACTCAGACTCAATCCTGAGGTCTATGCTATTGCATATGATCTGCCCTGGATAAACTGACTCCTTGGTTTGCTCTGAGAAAGGAGGAGCCTAAGGCTGCTTGCAACTTTCCCTTTTGTAGCCCCCATGACAGTTGGACTGCAAGCAGTGTCCTCAACCAGTGTGGTGTGTGATCTCACAGAAAAAAAAAGTACACAATTTAACTTGGCCTTCCAGATCTCCAATCCAGGCATTCATGGGAAGGACCACATCCAGGTCTTCCCATTATATTCTCTCCCAATACCCGTAAACCAGAACCTCCTTCTAATCTGCATTTGTGGTTCCTAAACACGAAATAAATAGATTAGATCATTTAGAAGCACAACTTTAACTGGGCTAATATTTGTTTAAACACCCAATAATCCTCTTTCTTAAAGGAAACCAAAACAGGATTATAGCGTCCAAATATTTCCGTTGTGTATGGGGAAGGTATTTCCCTGTCACTTGCTTTCGATGGTTCCCTCCTTATTGTGAAAACCTTCTCTGCAAGTAGCTTCTGTCATGCTAACACCCAGGGGGGTTGTGGGGCTTAATCTCCGTGTAACTCTTGGAAACCCTTGGTAAATTAATTCTAATGCTGAGATGCTCTAGGGAGTGGTTTGGGGGACACTAAAGTCTTTCCTATTTCCGGGGGCTACACTGTTATGGCTAAGATCAGAAACAAAGCTCTGAAGAACACTCATCTGACGAGTGTGGGGGCAAGGTGCCCAAATGCCTGAAATTACCCACAGATTTTTCTAATTGGATTTGAGTTAGGGGTCTTCACCCAGATTATCAATAATTATCTTACAGTGCTTCTGAGACCTTTGATAAAATGAAAATGGCAGGCATTCATAGCATCTTTTTAAAGTAGTGCCCTATCAACACACATTGTAGTTCTCCTGTACTGGTCTTTGCAGCTTGCTTAAAGAAAATACTACCTTACATTAGAGTCAACCAAAAGCACAGAACTCAGTGCCTAGGACATAAGTGGAATTCAGTATGGTAGCTTTTGAGTATTAAATTCCCAGAGGGAAAAATGAGTGTTAATATTTTTTAAAAGGTCGATATAAATTGTTAAATACATTCACAGTCGATAGTTTTAGCTATTGTTTCAGAAATGATCATATTCCCTATTGAGCTTGTTGTTTGTTTATATGTGTGTGGTTGTTGTGGTTGTTTTGTGTGTGTTTTTTCCAAAGCCTTGGGTAGCACAGTGATTTCCAAAGTTTTATGTGTTTGTTTAAGGAAACCTTTCTTTGAAAAAGCTTGATCAGAAGCTCAGTCTGTGAAAACAAATAAAACTGAAGTTTCTGGTTGAATTTGGAAGATGGGAAGGGATCTGGGAGTCCAGGTGGAACCCAAGGTCTTCTAAGCAGAGCCCCCGAGATAGCTCTCCTGAACCACTACATCTCAGACAGCCCTACTGGTTTATGATTCTGTGTTCTTCAGTTGCATTTCTTTTATCATTAGAGCTGTTGTTTATAGCCAAATATGTACTTGCTGCAATCCTAGGCAGTCTACATACAAAATTCCCTTTAACGTATCTTTCCAACAACCCTGTCTGAGGATGTTTTTATCCTCATTTTAGATATAAAGAAACTAGAATTTAGGGAGTCTGATGTTCCCAAAGTTTCAAAATGAGTGAAAAGTAGAATCAAGATTCGAATCTAATACTTTCTGATGCCCAAGCCTCCATCCCATATGTTGTACTGCTACTCTGAGGCCAGCATGGGCTGAATAATGAGTGGTAATGATTTAAGCTGGACAAATGTGTGACTACCACTGCCTATCTTACCAGTATAGTCAAAATAGGCTCAGTGGTGATGGAGTGCCTAGTATTTTCTTCCATTTAAAAGTCATTAACAGTGAAAAGAAAGGCAAATAAAATAATAACTCCATGGGGAAAATGATTTGAATATCAAAAGAAGATTGAAAAGCTCCCCTGTCATTAATCAGTCTATCAAGGAAGAGAGCTCAATAAGTATTTTTATTAATGATATATATTTTTCTTAGAAAGATAAATTTTCCACACACCCCCAAAAGGCTGGCCATTTATGCAAGCAGAATTTGTCATTATTGATATGACACAATTTAAGGAATAGACTTTAAATATGCTCTAACTTTTATGTAAGTAACTGATACCCACACACTTGGGTTTAGCATCGCCCTCTGGGTTTTCTCTTTGGAAATGAGAACCTCTAGTTGGGTAACTTATAGTGTCTTACACTTAAGCATAAATAATTTTATTAGATGCTTTCTCCCAAAGTAAAATTAATTAAAATTAGAATAACAGCTCAAGCTCCTTTTGTCAAAGGATCATGAAAGTGGGAATAAAAAAAGTTGATAGGAGGATACTACTTTGTGGGGTCCATATTCTGTGCATGGGTTTTGGAAATAATCTTGCTGTAAGATGGGTTTTGTGCCCATTATTTACAAGTGAGGAATAGGTTTTAGTTGCTGCTGATATGGTCGTTAATAGACCACATCAGATAAGCAGCTACACTGCCCTTTGAACTTACTGACTCTTGAGCTTGTACCTGCCTCAGTATGCCATGGATAAGCCACTTGTGTTCCAATTTGTCAAGATCCAGAGCCACCCAAGGATAGTCAGGGAGGCCATGTTGAATAACTGACATGTGAGTTGCAAAAATACGGTGTTCTCTTTCAGTAAAGGAAAGTGATATACACTAGGAAGTGCAGTTACTATGTCAGAGTCAAGGGGATAAATACGTTCTACTAGCAGGCTTCATTGCACTCTGTAACAGGAAAGAAAAGAGATGATACTGCTGGCAAAGAAGGGGAAGGAAGGGAGGGAGAAAGGGAGGGAGAGAAGAAGAAAAAGTAGAAGAAAGGGAGAGAGAGAAATACTGTTGTAATTAACCTAGTTATTAATAACAGGAAAGGAGAAAAGGGAAGGCCAAATATTATGGGCATGTCATTTGCCAGGAAGATGGAGCTTTACACTACCCAGAGAGCCATGCATTCACTCCCAGGAGATCGCTAGGGAAGAGAATGGACATGTGGGAGATAGACTACCCATTCCCAGAAAAGTTACAGGGACTAGTAAAGGTGTTTTCTGTCAGTCACACCTGGGAACAGGTCATTGGCTGGAATGGGCTTGGCCCTGCAAGCATGGGCAGATTCAGGATACTTAATTCCCTGAACAATGGAGTTCACGCTCTTGGCTCTTGATTGACTCCTGGCTTATGGAGCCCTCATGCTCCTTCTTCCTGGCATTCACCCTCACACAATGGGGAAATGGACTACAACTAGCCTGTTGTTAAACTGGGTCCAGCTACAAGATGGAGCCCATACTCTGGACACTATCTTTGTTTTTAGTTCTCCCCAAATCCCAATTACACTTCTTCTAGGACTGGAGTAAGGGAAATGGAGCCTTGGAAACCCAGGGATGTAATTCTATGGAAATAAGAATCACTCATTCTCCAAAACAAAAATACGGAGTTCTCAAAGTGCATAACCAATGAGTGTGTCATTTGTCTCGTCTAGGTGTGTACAGAAGGCAGACTGATCCTGGAGTTCACCTTTGACGATCTCATGAGAATAAAAACGTGGCACTTTACCATTAGACAATACAGAGAGCTGGTCCCAAGAAGTATTCTCGCCATGCATGTAAGTGCTTTCCTTCCTCTTCCACTCTCTTCCTTATTACCCCTCATTTCACTCTGGAGGAGAAATGCAGTTTCTCTGTGAAAGAACTCTAGTAGTCTTCACACTTTATGTAATGAACTCTAAATGTGTGAGTTTTTCCCTCATCCAGAGGCCCTTTTTCTCCTCCTTTGTTTTGAGTGTGGTAAATTCTGAGTCTTTTTTTTCTTTTGAAACTTTATTATTTTAAACTCTTAGGTTGAGGTTACCTCAATAAACAATTTGTACTCTTTTTTAATTCAGTTTGGTCATTATCCAGTAATGCTCTGCCTGGGCTAATAAACTTGTTATTTATAATCAGGGGAAGAAATAAAATAAGAAGTAAGAAAAACAGTTTCCAGTTTTGATTAGAACCATCTGAGGAGACATGGAGCTCATGGACCTCATCTCTGTGTCCACAGAAATTGGCCCTTTTGAACCAGTGTTGGAATGAGTTGGAATATTTGGGGTTCTCTTGGTTTTCTTTGGACATAAATCACATCAGATTTATTGAACACCAGCTAAAAGCAAGGATGGATTCGATGCCAATCTAGAGACATGTTTTAGAGGGAAGACTTGATGGGAGCTCATCAGGTACAGTCTCTGAAGGAGTCAAAAGGCATTGACTTAAGTCCCTCCTCCTTCATAGATGACACAGCATTTTCCTTGAAAAAGTTTGGGAGCAAAATCACTTATTGAGCCTGATTTTTAAGACCCCCAGATAATCAAAAGAGAATAAGTTAACTGTGGCTGGTACTTGTTGGGTGTTTTCTATGCCAGGCCTCGTGATGAACATTGTATGAACATCATAATTAACTCCTCCAGTAACTTAGAGAAGTGAGTTTTCATTCATTATTCCTATTTCAGAAGTGAGAAAACTGAGGCTTAGAGAAGTTCACTCAGTTGCCCAATGGTTTTTAGATTGAAAGTGATAAAATCAAGATTTCAGACAAAACCAGTCTGGCTCAGGAGATAGAGCGTCGGTCTGAGGACGGAAAGGTCCCAGGTTTGATTCCCGTCAAGGGCATGTACCTTGGTGTGGGCACATCCCTGGTGGGGGTGTGCAGGAGGCAGTTGGTGAATGTTTCTCTCTCAATGATGTTTCTAGTTCTCTATCCCTCTCCCTCTCTGTAAAAAGAAATCAACAAAAAATATATATTAAAAAAAAAAAAAAAGACTTCAACTCAGCTGGCTCTGACTTCGAAACCTGGGCTGATAAGCCAATTGTCTCCCAACTATCCAACTCCAGGCTTTTGTCCTCAACCCTTTCCTCCTGACTCATTAACCAGGTCTCTGCCCTTAAGCTTTCTTCTCTGACCATCCCCATACTACCACTATCCTTCTCTGCTGCTTCAGCCTCTCATGCCCCAAGTTTTCTCTATTTTTAAAGCCCACTTCATATCTTCTCGAAACAGTCTGAGTAGCCATTCTTATTATTCTTAAAATAGAGTTGGGAATCTGGGCCCTGGAATGAGATCACATAGGTTTGTATCTCAGCTCTTGTGTGACCTTGGGCAAGTGACATGACACCGCTGTGCTTCTAATCCCTCATCTATAACCTCAGTACAGTAATAGAGTCTATCTTGGAGGATTGGTTTGAGGACTACGAGTCAATGCATCTAAAGACCATAGAACAGTGCCTGGCACATAGAAGGTCCTCTGCAAGTGTGACACGTGGCTTATAGCAGCAGCAACCACATATTTCCCTTTATTTATTATTCTCCTATTGTCTGACTACAATGTAAGTTCCTTGATGTGGAGCACAACTACCTGATGCATCTCTATATAGAACCAGCTCTTCCTGGCACATGAGAGGTTTAATAAATACCAGCCACATAACCAGAAAGGACCTAGAGGTGTCCTGGCGGGTCTTCACATCCCTTCTCCTAAAGACACAGGGCCTCTCACAGAGTAAGTGAAGTTGATTCTCCCCAGATGTGAAAGCACTGTTGGTCCACAAGTGTCCTTGAGCGTTATATGCATGTGTCTTGAAATGTAAATTAAATTATCTCCAGCAAACTGGCCCTCTAAGGAAAACCCACAGTGTCAAGATTGCATTTCTTAGCAGCTGTAGTGCAGACTGAGACTTTCTTGAGACCATCTTGCAGGGATAAAATGTATGACTTTTTTTTTTTCCTGTTTAGGCACAAGATCCTCAGGTCCTGGATCAGCTGTCCAAAAACATCACCAGAATGGGGCTAACAAATTTCACCCTCAACTACCTCAGGGTAAGACCAATGTGATGATTATATCTCCTGGTGAGTTGGAAAAGTCATTTACTGGTTTATATATTTCTTGAACAAAGGAGTTAAAATGAGGTAATACAGCAGAATGTGTGTGTGTGTGTGTGTGTGTGTGTGTGTGTGTGTGTGTGAACAGAGGAAGGAATTAAATTAACAAGCATCAAACCTAGCCTTTGTGCTGCCTCTGTGCATTTGTATCACTCTCGGAATGAATTATTCAAAGGCAAGCAATGTTTGTCATCAGATGCTTTGGTAGTATGTCCCTTTTGGTCATCTCAAGTTTCTAATGTGCTCTTGTGGAGTTCACGAGTTCTGCCTCTCCACCCAGGAGCAGTTCATCCTGAAGAGATTCGGTGTGCCCTCCATAGAGAGCCCCTGAAGAAATTTCTAAGTCTTCCCAGAGAGCTTATGTGTGACATTGTGACAGATTTTTCCGGTTTAAATATGAAGTCAATTTTTATTTTAAAAAATTAAGTGTTAGGGAAACACTCACTACCTACTTAATACTTACAGCCTCCGTATTTGGTCTAACAGGATAGCATATGACACACCAGTTTTTAGTGGAATTGCACTTGTCACATGGTAGGCAAGAAATCTGGTTTCCTTCATAAAGTAAACATTGCCCTCCAGAGTCAATCAAAAGGTGGTGGCCACGGTCCACAGTCCTTTGCCTCTGAGTTGCTGAGTTCTTTATTATTGTGTTTAGTGTTCACTTCTCCAGGGCACCCATTGCATCCTAAATCTTATGCTTTCATTTCTTTATCCTTAAGTGCTCTGCAGGTTGGGGAATTTTGTTTTGTATTCATGATCGTTTTGGTGTGTGTTGAAATGCTGGCATGCTTTGGCCAGACCTTCTCTTCTTTCAATTAAGAGTCATTTGGACAAATGCTTTCAAATCATGCCACTCATTGCCATGTGCCAGGTGCTTGTTAGATGCTGACAACTCAAAGGCCATGGCTCCGGCCATCAGGAAACTCACTCCCATGAGGATCAGGCCCATAAACAGAGAACATTATGTACAACATGGTAAATACCATGATAGAAGATTCCAGATGGAGTTATGGAAGTACAAAACAGAGACATCTCAGAAGGATCAGAGAAGGCCTCCTGAAGGAGATGATGCCTGAATTGAATGTAAAAAAATGAATGAAGGGAAAGCAGAGGAAAGCACAGGCAGGGCATTTCCATCAGAAGGAAAAGAAGGAGCATGGACTTGGGGGTGGAATTCCAAGCAGTTTGATAATGCTGCGACATGAAGTGAGAAGCCAGGACAGGCAGGAGAGAGTTAGTTGGGAGTCAGGTCTTGGAGCAACTGGCTGGCCAGGTTACTGGGCTAGGAGGCTCTGGTTAAATATGAGGATGGCAGAGTCCTCCTCCTGGGTAGAGGGAGAGGACTCCCTTAGTATCCAGCCTAGATGTCCCAGAGCCAAATCCAAGCATGGCAAGAGCCAGTCAGCTTCACATCCCCCACCTTACTTCAGTACCCTCGCTGTTCTGACAGATCCAAACCAGGTTGTTCGCAGAGGGAAACCAGAAAATGCCCAGGTGGGATGGGGCGACAGGTGAGTGCTCCCAGCCAGGTTAGCTGGGGCTATGTTATCCCAAAGCTTCAGGCTCTGCATTCAGACCGTGGGGATGCTGGCACAGTGGAGTGGGTAGCAAGGCCTGGGAAGTGAGGGTCTGTGGAGTTGTTCTCTCTGCAGGAATTTAGAGGGCTGCTCCACACTGCTTGGCATGTCATCTTGTCAGGGACCCTGAGAGGTTAGGTTTCAACCATCTGGAGATGCCTCTCCTCAGGCAGATAAAGAAGTTACACATGGTGTGTCCTTAGCTGACCCCCAAAGGAAGCTGGGACTTTGGCATCTATCCTAGACTTGGTCACAAACCCTCTGGTGAGATCTTAGACTCTTGATTCTTTGTTATATACTTTATCTGCATTTAACACAAATGAATGCATGCTAAATTTTCTCTCTCCCTCTAGCTTCTCTTATTGTCATCAGTAAAATGGTGGCCTTCACCCTGGGGTCAATAAAGCCCAGCTCGTGCCCAGGTACTACACTTCTCTGATTCTAGCTTAGGAAGGCCGAGGAGAGAGTACCTGCAAAGGGATAAGAAGAGCACCACTGGCCCTTCTCCCGACAATGATACAAGGAAACTACAATATTTATGAGTAGGCCAATACAGGAGCGTTTCAAAGACTACCATTTAATGCAGAGCTTGCTGCATGCTGTGTTGTGCTGGAGATATATGTCCTAACTTAACTAGTCTTCACAATGGCCCCTGTGCACTAGCACCATCTCCATAAGAGAGCCAGGTACAGAGCCTGAGAGTAATTGAAGTCAGTTGCCCAACTTCACATCAATCACCAAGTGGCAGAACCATGACTTGAACTTGGACAGGCTATTCTAGGATCTAGGTGCTTCATAGCAAAACTCTGCTGCTTTTCTAGTAAGAATGTAGAATGGAGATGTTGATAGGAATTGGATCACGTTTTCCTTGCCTTGATGGGAGACTCAGCATCTACCATTGGGTCCTTAATCTACTTTGCCAAAAGTTACACCTGCACCTTATAAGGTTTAGCATGAAGATGAAGTGAGATGATTCATATAAAGGACTTAGCACAGAGTCTAGGGACATAAAGTGCCCAGTTAGTGTATGGTGTCCTATTTTATTGAGCATCTACTATGTACCTAGCCTCTTCCTTGTACAGGAACCAATTAGAGCAACATGACATCTGTCTCTCTTCTCTCTTCCTGGACCCATATAGCACTATTCCCCAGATCTTGCACCCTCGTTCCATGCTTGTTTGCCTTTCTGTACTCATTTCTTTAAAAAAAAAAATTTACTGTCAGAAAATATTACATATGCCTCCCTTTTCTCCCCATTAATCCCTTCTATCCCGCCTCTGCCCCGTACCCCAAGTCTTCACCACCCTATTGTCTGTGTCCATCGTTATGCATATATGCATACAAGTTCTTTGATTGGTCTCTTTCCACCCTCAGTATTCCCGGTCCTATGACTATCTCTTGGTTGATCCTGTATAATAACTGTCTCTTGCATTTGACTCAGAGGAGACTGAAGACAGATCAATTACCTTATATTTCTAGAGCCTCACAAGGTCTCATTCACAATAAACACCAGTAAACAGCACTTGAATGGATGGCTGGTGGGTGGAGTATGGAAGACCATATTTTGAATAAAACCAAAACAAAATGCAGTGAAACTGTAAATTTCTTAATGGGTAATTATTTTTGTCTATTTTCTTTGGCCAAATTTTCTTGATGTTGGGATACACAAAATGTTTTATGCATTATACTTAATGCAAGTTTAAAACATCTTATCCTCTATCCCAGCCAAAAGACATTTGTGTATGTTTCCCCTTACTCTTTATTCATGCATATGCATAGTATCTGCATAAATGTAATCAGTATATATACATGTTTTAATATTACTTGATAAACACTTTTGCATGCTTCTACATAATGGACCATTTCTAATGGCTGCAAAACATTCTGGTGTGGTTCTGGAACTGTGTTTACTTAATCTTTCCTCTAAACATGGAGCACTGAAGCAATGTTCAGCTTGCTGCTGTCATTAATCCCATTCCTCTGAGCACCTTTGCCATGTCCTGCTTCACATGGTATTATCTGCAAGCAGAAGACGGAGCTGTGAGGCCAGGTGTAAAGGAAAATAAGGTACTGTAGATTCAGAGAAATGTGGGTTCAAATCCAAACCCCCTTACAGCCTATAAGGGCCTTGAGAGAGTTGTTTTCTTTCTTTCAATGCCCCTTTCCTTATCTGAAAATTGGGAAAAGTAATGTTCCACAGATTGGCACAATTTATAAGACCAGAGGAGTTAGAATTTATAAGAACCTGGCACACAGAAGGAGCTTACTAAATATCAGTCCCCTCCTGTGCTGTCTCAGAGCAGATCAGGGTTCAGCTCTCACTTAAGCAACTTCTTATGTAATTTTGATCAATTTCCTTAATATCTTGGGGCCCTAGTTTTCTCCTGTGTGAATGATTATGCACATTGTGAATTGTGGTAAATGCATCGCAGCCTAGGTTAGAGTGATAATGCATGTGAGGAGCACATTTAAGTCTAAATTACAACACCAGGAAGACATGCCAGTCTCATCTCATTTATCATCTCCTATGCATTGGTCATGGCCTTGAATTCTTCACTGAGATTCTGAAGTCATATGATAGATCAGAAAAAAAGAGAAGTCAGTGATTAATGATATCTGCCAAGGAGGGTAACAGGAAGGAGTCGGGGACATGTGCATATAATTGGCATCCTTTCCCAAGATAAATGTTATTTCAAGTGTAGAATCATGATCACTGTTTTCAATATTATCTATAAGTTTTCTGTTGTTATTGTTAAGTCTAACTCTTTAAATAAGCAGTATCTTCTATTGGGCTTGAAAGCATTTAGGTTTCACAGTAATGTTTTTTAATCCTGTGCCTTTAATTTCCCAAGTGAGGGAAGAATGTTGTTGTTTTTATTGTTATACTTCAAAGAACATTGGACCCTGCATGTAGCTTTCACTGAGAGCAAAGGAGTAGTGTCTGGTGCCTCGAAGAATTGCGCAATTAGCTTTAGAAAATGCTTCCTACCCACCAGTATGACTTGAAGCGGCCTCTAGGAGAATGAGTGTGGCTGGAGTCAGCATTTGGAACCCTGTCGAGATGTGTTTGTTTTTCATTTTTTGTAAGGTTTTGATGCAAACCTTTTTCCTCACCTAAATATTAAGCCTGAGAAGAAAACAGAAATCCCTGTTCAGAGATTGAAATGAACTGAAGTTATTGGGCATCAGAAAGGCCTGGGATATGAACAGACCATCCACTATTCACACATTCAGACAGATCAGCAACAAACCCCAGTTAAGCACTGAGGTTTGGGTAGGGAGGGTGGCAGGAACCATACCAGCAGATCCCCTGTGCATCTCACAGTGCCTGCATGTTAGAGACCCTCAAAGATGTCA